GCTTGAGTATGATTCAAGTCACTCCATAAGCCTGACTTCAAGAGGGAGACAGCGGTCCTTACACTTTGAGAAGCAGCCAAGCATTTGCACTCACAGGGTTGTTGTAGGTTTTTTCGGGCTATATAGAATCATAGAATCAAAGAGTTGGGCCATCCAGTCCAACCCCCTGCCAAGAAGCAGGAATATTGCATTCAAATCACCCCTGACAGATGGCCATCCAGCCTCTGTTTAAAAGCGTCCAAAGAAGGAGCCTCCACCACACTCCGGGGCAGAGAGTTCCACTGCTGAACGGCTCTCACAGTCAGGAAGTTCTTCCTCATGTTCAGATGGAATCTCCTCTCTTGTAGTTTGAAGCCATTGTTCCGCGTCCTAGTCTCCAGGGAAGCAGAAAACAAGCTTGCTCCCTCCTCCCTGTGGCTTCCTCTCACATATTTCTACATGGCTATCATGTCTCCTCTCAGCCTTCTCTTCTTCAGGCTAAACATGCCCAGCTCCTTAAGCCGCTCCTCATAGGGCTTGTTCTCCAGACCCTTGATCATTTTAGTCGCCCTCCTCTGGACACATTCCAGCTTGTCAATATCTCTCTTCAATTGTGGTGCCCAGAATTGGACACTATATTCCAGATGTGGTCTAACCAAAGCGGAATAGAGGGGTAGCATTACTTCCCTAGATCTAGACACTATGCTCCTATTGATGCAGGCCAAAATCCCATTGGCTTTTTTTGCCGCCACATCACATTGTTGGCTCATGTTTAACTTGTTGTCCACGAGGACTCCAAGATCTTTTTCACACGTACTGCTCTCAAGCCAGGCATTGTCCCCCATTCTGTATCTTTGCATTTAGTTTTTCCTGCCAAAGTGGAGTATCTTGCATTTGTCACTGTTGAACTTCATTTTGTTAGTTTTGGCCCATCTCTCTAATCTGTCAAGATCGTTTTGAATTCTGCTCCTGTCCTCTGGAGTATTGGCTATCCCTCCCAATTTGGTGTCGTCTGCAAACTTGATGATCCTGCCTTCTAGCCCTTCATCTAAGTCATTAATAAAGATGTTGAACAGGACCGGGCCCAGGACGGAACCCTGTGGCACTCCGCTCATCACTTCTTTCCAAGATGAAGAGGAAGCATTGGTGAGCACCCTCTGGGTTCGTCCATTTAACCAATTACAGATCCACCTCACCGTAGTTTTGCCTAGCCCACATTGGACTAGTTTCCTTGCCAGAAGGTCATGGGGGACCTTTTCGAAGGCCTTACTGAAATCCAGGGGTTATATGGCCATGGTCTGGAGGCATTCTCTCCTGATGTTTCGCCTGCATCTATGGCAAGCATCCTCAGAGGTAGTGAGGTCTGTTGGAACTAGGAAAAGGGTTTATATATCTGTGGAATGACCAGGGTGAGACAAAGGACTCTTGTCTGCTGGAGCTAGGTGTGAATGTTTCAACTGATCACCTTGATTAGCATATAATGGCCTACATAGGGACCACCAAACGCAGCACCCAAACACGAATCAAGGCACATGAAAGGCACTGCAGACTACCTCAACCAGAGAAGTCAGCCATAGCAGAGCACCTGATGAACCAACCTGGACACAGCATATTATTTGAGAACACAGAAATGCTGGACCACTCTCACAACCACCATGTCAGACTACACAGAGAAGCACTGAAATCCACAAGCATGTGGACAATTTCAACAGAAAGGAGGAAACCATGAAAATGAACAAAGTCTGGCTACCAATATTAAAAAACTCTAAAATTGCAACAGCACAACAACAGAGAGGAAAAAAACAAGGACATCTCATCACCTCTCAACATAAGTTTGCTCCAGGCACTGTCAGGCCATTATATGCTAATCAAGGTGATCAGTTGAAACATTCACACCGTGAACTAGCGGGGGAACACTATATAGCCATGGCATAAGAGGAGGCCAGGTGCCAGATTCAACATGTACCTGAAGCTCGCCTCTCCCTCTCACTACGATAGCGATTCAAATCCCTATGAGGAAACCATAACTATACTTCTTTTGCTGTGTATCCGCACAACAGATTTTGCAAGCTATACAGGCAGATCTATCTATAATTGCTTTCCAAGAGACAGAAAAAAATCATGAGTCCATTTCATTCGAGATTAATAGGCTGCGCTTCATTCTGACTTCGCTTAATGGAAGATGCCAAGGTACCTAATCATTCATATCAGAAAAAAATCAATGGCTGCATATATCACCAGGTTGAAATGGTTTTCTAGAAACCATGCAGCACAAATATCTCACATCTTCTGAGCTTTCACTGGATACAGTCAATTCCTTCAACCTATTCAAATGGCCATGAGGGATAGCAACTTGCTTTCTAGTCCACATATAACTGCAGAGAATCTACGAATAGCAAATGGCAGGCCTTGCCTGAACCTCTGTTGAGACTAGTGAGTAAAGTTGAAGTGACTTTTGAGGGCAAATATGGTGTCATTGTACGACCGGGCTTTGGCGCAGCTAGTTAATAGCCAGCTGAATTAATAATAATAATATAATAATAAACCTTTATTTGTACCCCGCTACCATCTCCCGAAGGACTCGGTGCGGCTTACAAGAGGCCGAGCCCAAATACAACAATAAAACAACAACAACAATAATACAGCAAAATAAATTAAAAAACAAAGCAATAACATTAACAACACACAATGACGCAATTAAAAACTATGGTAGGGCCAAATGTAATAATTAAAATTAAAAAGTGCTGGGCATGACCAGGAGAAAGGGTGGGTGTTTGGAAAGGGATTGGTATGCAGATATCCTAAATCTCTGATAAAGTATGTTGGGACAGAATGCTTGGAGTTTCCTTATTCTGGGAAGGCACACTGGAACAACCACGTTTTCAAGCACCTCCTAAAAATTGCCAGCGATGGGGCTTGCCTGATGTCCTTAGGGAGAGAGTTCCAGAGTCGAGGGGCCACCACCGAGAAAGCCCTATCCCTCGTCCCCACCAATCACGCTTGCGATGCAGGTGGGATTGTGAATAGGGACTCTCCAGATGAACGAAGAGATCGTGTGGGTTCATACACCGAGATGCGGTCACATTAAATCACTACTGACCGAGAGGTCATGAGTTCGAAGCCAGCCCAGGTCGGAGTGAGCTCCCGACCATTAATAGTCTAGCTTGCTGTTGACTTATGCAGCCCGAAAGACAGTTGCATCTGTCAAGTAGGAAATTTAGGTACCGTTTTATGCGGGGAGGCTAATTTAACTAATTTACGATACCATAAAACCTTCCAGCAGTGTGCATAAGAATGAGGAAGTACTCCATCAAGGAGTCACAAGTGGAAGGTGAAGCGGCAGCTCCCCCTGTGGCTGGAATCGAGCATATGCTCATGAAGCTGGAATAGCTGGAATGTTAAATTTCCTCTGTGTCTGTCTATATATGTTTTATGTCTAAAATGGCATTGAATGTTTGCCATGTATATGTGAATTGTAATCTGCCCTGATTCCCCCGTGGGGTGAGAAGGGTGGAATAGAAATACTGTAAATAAATACTCGAGTATAAGCCTAGTTTTTCAGCCCCTTTTTTAGGCTGAAAAAAAATCCCCTCGGCTTAATAATAATAATAATAATAATAATAATAATAATCTTTATTTATACCCCGCTACCATCTCCCCAAGGGACGCGGTGCGGCTTACATGAGGCCGAGCCCATAATACAACAATACAAGCAATAACAACAACAATACAAGCAATTAAAATCAAACAAAACAATAAGACAATAACATAAGCATTAACAGTAGGACAGCACACTTTAAAAACTATGGGTAGGCCGAATGTAATTAAAAATTTAAAAAATAATGCTGGACATGGGCGAAAAAGTGATGGGGCGTTTGTGGAAACTTACAAGCAGATTTAAAACAATATAAAGTGCTTTGGAGGACAAAGTGCTATGGGATCCTTATTCTGGGAAGGCACACTGGAACAACCACGTCTACAAGCTCTTCCTAAAGACTGCAAGAGTTGGGCATGCCTGATGTCCTTAGGAAGTGAGTTCCAGAGTAGAGGGGCCACCACCGAAAAGGTCCTCTCTCTCGTCCCCACCAATCGCGCTTGCGATACAGGTGGGTGCGCGAGCAGGGCCTCTCCAGATGATCGCAGAGATCATGTGGGTTCATATACAGAGATGCAGTCACGCAGGTAGGCAAGTCCCAAACCATTCATGGCTTTGTACATGAGAACCTGCACCTTGAATTGAGTATAATTGAATTATACTCAAGTCAAGGTTATTTATTATTTTACTCTGCTATTAGTATTATTTTTATTACATTTATTATTTTACTCTATTATTATTACATTTACATTATTTTACTGTATTATTATATTTATTGCATTTATTATTTTACTCTATTATTGTTATTATCACATTTATTATTTTATTACTATTATTATTAAATTTCCATTATTTACTCTATTATTATTTTTATTACATATTATTACATGTTATTATTTTATTCTATCATTATAGGCAATAGGTAAGCACATTTACATTGAAGGACGTTAGAATAAAGGTTAAATCAGAGTTGGGCAGTCTTATCTTAAATTACAGTTTTGTGTAAATACCCAAAAATATTTAATCTACTGATGATTACCAGTAGCAGCTACATTTCTCACCTTCGGCTTATATTCGAGTCAATACGTTTTTCCAGTTTTTTTGTGGTAAAATTAGGTCCCTTGGCTTATATTTGGGTCGGCTTATACTCAAGTATATACGGTATTTATTTGTCATGTCAGGACAACCAGTCAATTATATTACATTATTATATTAATATGTAATATAGTATATATGGTAATTAAATTGTTGTTTTTCAAAAGACATTTAAGACATTTTCTGGAATCAAGACCAGAAAATGTATTGGAAGACATTGCTAGTATTTTGGCTGATGAAAGGTTACACATTTTAAGCCCTTGTTCCTAAGTGGGCCTAATGCAAAGGAGTCATCCTGACCAACATCCTCGGGAGAGACTAAAACAATTACCTCGGCCACTTTTGGAGGAACTCCATCTCCAAGCACATCCCGAATGAAGCACTGCTGGCTCATGTAGCAGGAGAGGCCACAGGTCCTCTTGAAGGCATCTTTCAGCCGTTTCAGTTCTAGGTCCGTCACTGGAGGGAGAAAGAAAAAGAGATGGGAATATTTTAATAATTCAAATGCAGAAATCATCCTTAGAATGTGCTCTTTACCACTATTCACTTTTCCACATAATCACCACACAATTGGATACATTTCTGCCAATGATGAACAAGTTTTCTGAAGCCACGGAAGAAGTCGACACTCTGTTTCCACAACCAGCGTCTCACAGTTCTCTCCTCCTGGGTACCCATTGTGCACAGATCTTCCGATAACCAAGCAAAGCAATAATGTGACCCACACAGTCTTGTGAAATGCCAATTATGCTTGAAATGTCTCTCTGAGTGATACGATAATCATCCTGAATTAATCTGTCAACCTTTTGCTTGTGAAGCTCGTGGTTACTGTCACAGGACATCCAACTCTTTGTTTGTCACGCAAGTCGGATATTTCCACCTCAACATCTTTAAACTTACTCGCCCAACGACGCACAGTACTCACATCAACACAATCACCATAAACAGCTTGCATTCTCTGATGAATCTAGGGAAGTCATGCTACCCCTCTATTCCGCTTTCGTTAGACCACACCTGGAATATTGTGTCCAAGTCTGGGCACCACAATTGAAGAGAGATATTGGCAAGCTGGAATGTGTCCAGAGGAGGGTGACTAAAATGATCAAGGGTCTGGAGAACAAGCCCCATGAGGAGCGGCTTAAGGAGCTGGGCATGTTTAGCCTGAAGAAGAGAAGGTTGAGAGGAGATATGATAGCCATGTATAAATATGTGAGAGGAAGCCACAGGGAGGAGGGAGCAAGCTTGTTTTCTGCTTCCTTGGAGACTAGGACGCGGAACAATGGCTTCAAACTACAAGAGAGGAGAACACGAGGAAGAACTTCCTGACTGTGAGAGCCGTTCAGCAGTGGAACTCTCTGCCCCAGAGTGTGGTGGAGGCTCCTTCTTTGGAAGCTTTTAAACAGAGGCTGGATGGCCATCTGTCAGGGGTGATTTGAATGCCATATTCCTGCTTCTTGGCAGGGGGTTGGACTGGATGGCCCATGAGGTCTCTTCCAACTATAATTATAATATAATATATTGTATATACATATAATATTTATAATATTGTAATGTAATGCAATATAATACTACTAATAATATGATATTATAATTATATATTTATATTACATGTAATATTACTAATAATATTACAGTAAAATTGATATAGTGCAATATAGCAATATTTAAAACTGATATTGTACTATGTTAATAATATATTGTATTACATACAATATATTGTGTTATTAGCATAGCACTGGGATTGTGGCACATATAAATGTCGTAAATAATAAATAAATAAATAAATAAATATAAATGAGGTCTCTTCCAACTCTTTGATTCTATGATTCTATGAATCTCCTTTTTAGTGACACCTTCTGCTGTCAAGAATTCAATGACTGCATGTTACTTAAGTCACATTAAGTCTGCGCAGGGTTCAATACTTCACACTTTAACAACACAACCATTCAATGCTAAGGCTTCCTGCCAAAATGGAACTGTAGAGGACAGTCTACTGAACAAGCCGGTACCTGCCGCATACCAGTACTGCCATCTGTTGAGGAGTTATGAAGGTGGAGGCATTATTTTTCATTCAACCCTTGTGTGTGTATGTGTGTATAAACACACACACACACACACATACACACTGTTGGAGTTCAGCCTGTGATTGTGTCTAATGATCAGGGTACTCTGGATATTGGGAATGACAACGAGGTTCATGTACCTAATAATGATGTTTCTATTGATGAGGTTGCTATTGATGCAGAGAATGACAATGGGATTCCTGTTCAAAGTGTCCTTTCTGATGAGAATGTTCCTGAAGGGTTTGGGGATGATGGTATGGTTCCTGGAAGAGGGCCTGAATTCACAGGCCCATGACTTCAAGCCTGTGAATAGCTTGAAACCTGGGCCAGCTGGAGAAATTAATGAGCCAGTAAATAGAAGGCATGTTTTTAATCAGTACAAGCAAACAACCCTATCTCTCAGGCATTCTGCCAGGCTGAGAGAAAGATTAATAACAGAGTCAAGGCTGAAACGAAACCCGTTCATTTCAGCTTGGGACAATGAGCAGATTAGGCGGGGAAAGTGCCAAGTACAGAATCTGTAGTTCAGACGAAGCATAGTTGGAAATGGAGTCAAGATCTCTTTCCTGATCCTTGGAAGCCTTGCCTTGGATAGATTCATGTGTTAAGTGTTATTTAATTCATGATTCAAGTTTTGGAGTATTACCTTGGAATTTTCTGTACTTGTTTTTCATGAACTCTGATGGACTAATTTCCTGGACTATTTGTTCCTGCTTACCTTTCTGCCTAATTGGATTTACCTATTTTATGGAGTGCTTTTTATTGCTACTGCTTTTAAACTATCTTCAATAAACTGCTTACATTTCTATTCAGCTTATTTCTATTTCTATTCAGTTTAAAGTCAGGGGGCTTTTCTGGCCTGGAGTGCAACATATATACATACGACTTGATTTGCAGCCAACCCCCTTCTGGCATCAATTTCCTCACAGACAGTATTTTAATAGATATGGTGGTTTTGTTTACATATTCAAAAATGAGACTGCTTTTGTTCAGGGCTGCAATGCATATCTTCACGCATAATTTCATGTTGTGATTTAAAAACCCCATTTAACCATTTTTATCCAGCAGATGTGGAAAAGGAGACAAATATGCAGGTAGGAGTTCACAGCCATGACAGTAATCTAATTCCAGATTATTTGGAAAATGAAAGGTGGAAAGACCTTGAGAAAGAGGCTGGGAGTTTTAGGATGTTGTCGGGACCCTTTGTGGGATCTGAGATCTGGATTAGGCCCACAAAGATTTCTCCTTCTTGCTAATGATAGAATCGATATCATGGTAATTGGCCACGGTGGTCTACACTCTTGTTACATCCTGAATAGATTACTGCAATGCACTCTACGTGGGGTTGCCCTTGAAGACTGTTCAGAAGCTCCAACTAGTCCAACGGGCAGCAGCCAGGTTGGTCCCCAGAGCAGCATACAGAGAGCATACAACCACTCTGTTAACGCCAGCTCTACTGGTTTCCAATCTACTACCGAGCACAATTCAACCTGCTGGCTTTAGCCTATAAAGCCCTGAATGGAGAACAAGTCCTATGAGGAGTGGCTTAAAGAGCTGGGAATATTTAGCCTGCAGATGAAAAGGCTGAGAGGAGACTTTATGAGAACATACAGAGAGCATACAACCCCTCTGCTATGCCAGCTCTACTGGTTTCCAATCTGCTACCGAGCACAATTCAATGTGCTGGCTTTAGCATATAAAGCTCTAAATAGAGAACAAGCCCTATGAGGAGCGGCTTAAAGAGCTGGGCATATTTAGTCTGCAGAAGAAAAGGCTGAGAAGAGACTTGTCACACAAGTCGGATATTTCCACCTCAACATCTTTAAACTTACTCGCCCAACGACGCACAGTACTCACATCAGCACAATCACCATGAACAGCTTGCATTCTCTGATGATCTAGGGAAGTCATGCTACCCCTCTATTTTGCTTTGGTTAGACCACACCTGGAATATTATGTCCAATTCTGGGCACCACAACTGAAGAGAGATATTGACAAGCTGGAATGTGTCCAGAGGAGGACGACTAAAATGATCAAGGGTCTGGAGAACAAGCCCTATGAGGAGCAGCTTAAAGAGCTGGGCAAATTTAGCCTGCAGAAGAAAAGGCTGAGAGGGGACTTGATGAGAGCCATGGATCAAGATGTGAGGGGAAGTCCTAGGGAGGAGGGAGCGAGCTTGTTTTCTGCTGCCCTGGAGACTAGGATGCAATGAAGCAATGGCTTCAAGATACAGGAAAGGGAATTTCACCTGAACACGAGGAAGAACTTCCTAACTGTGAGAGAGAGCTGTTCAGCAGTGGAACTCTCTCTTGTTACAGTAAGTCATAACAGGATCAAGTATGTGTGTGTGTTAAAGAAAACCTTGTGCTGTTAATTATTATGTGCAGCTGCTAATGTAGGTCAACTAGTAAGTTTGGACCACATCCAGTGGGGTATAACTGCATGGTTTTTAGAATACAGTTCAGCTTTTGCTTGGAGGAGCCTTTGCTCAGGCATTTTTGCTCAACCATTTCTACTGCTCTCTCATTTGGATGAAGATGAAGAAGCCTTCTTCTGTATTGCTTACGAATACCATGTAAGTTTGTTGCACTGCTTCTAACATTTCAAGTTTATGTTTTAACTCTGCTAATAAGAGTAAAGTTTTTTCTGTTCTTTTTCCTCTTGCCTGGGTGCAATGTTATTGTGTCGCCCTTTCCTCTCCGAAATTCTATCCTAGTATATTTCACCCGGTCATGCTCAGCATTATTTTTCAAAATTTTAATTATTACATTTGGCCCAGCCATAGGTTTTTAAGCATTGTCGGACTATTGTTAATGTTTACTGCTTTTTTGTTTATGAGTTTCATTTTATTGTTTTGTATTGCTGTTGTTGTTGTTTTTGCTGATGTATTGTGGGC